CCACGCTGGGAGAGTGCAGAGACCAGGGGGTGCGATACTGCTGGTGTCCTGTGAGCGTGTTGGGACAGTAGGGCGAGGCGGCCTTCACCACAGCTGCTGGCTCTGCTGGGGAGAGCGAGGCCACCAGAGGTGCCAGGTGTTGTCCCCAAGGAACAGGCCTCCCAGGGGGCATGCCCTGCGAGATCCCCACACACTCTGACGGTGGAGGGACCCACCTGGCTGTGAGGGGAGGTTCCGGGAAGCCTTGCAGCCTTCCCTGAGTCTCCCCTGGAGCCGGGGGAGAAGTTCAGCTACACCAGGCCTGCCACGGTGGAGAGGCCACGTGTGGACACTCTGACCAACAGTCCCAGCTGAGCCCAGCTGTCCAGTCACCTCTTTCAAGTGCTGGAACGGAAGCAACGCCTCCGAGGAGCCTCCAGACAACCCCACGAGCCAAGCACTGCGGGACAATCCCCACTACAGCCACATGTAGCAGAGGGTTGACTGGCTGAGCCCGGCCTACCTCCTGACCCACAAAGGCACGAGGCATGACAGCACAGTTGCTGTCTGCAAGTGCAGGTGTGGGGCAACTTGAGACGCTGCAGTCACTAACTAGAATAAAACAGCATGGCTGTGCTGGGCACCACGGTGGGAGCCAAGGCCCGTTGGGGCCTGTCTCGGCACCAGAAGGGCGAGATGGGGCTCCTCAGGTTGGGGCCCTGGGGCCAGACCTCAGACTCCTGTCAACAGCCCAAGGGGAGAGCCACCATCTGCGTGAGCTTTGAAGGCCTCCAGGCTGGGCTGCAGCCGCCACCTCTCTGGGCTCTGGACCACATCCCTCCCCCACTGTCTGGGGGAACGTGTGGGGTCCTAGGACCACCCTTTTCTCTGTTCTCTGCTCTAGCCACCCGACGGGTCTGTGCAGTCCTGGCCCCTGCCTTGCCCCTCCACCGCTGCCCCCAGGAACGCCCTGCCTTGTGTGGTCTACCCCAGGGGCCACCCACCACCTCCCTGGCAGTGCCTGGCCTTCTCAGCCCGGGAGCAACACAGAGAAGCGGAAACGACGTAACCTGCTACTTTCCCAGGAGGTCTGGACGTGGGTGCTGGTGTCTACGGCTACTGCAGGTTTGCCCGGTGGGCACCAGTACACAGCGGGCCTCCCAGATACTGTCCCCAGGCACCCGGACGCACTATGCCTTCCACCCAGCTCACCGGCTCTCTTTTGATGCTCCTGTGAGGCAAGAGCAGGAGCCGCCGCCGCTCACCAGGTGAGGAGAGGGCGGCGTGGACACCTGACCTGGGCCGTGACCCCAGCGGAGCTTTGGGCAGGAACGGGTTCCAGGGTCCCAGGACACGGGCCCTCTCCCTTATCATCCCCCTGGCAGCTGCCTCCCCATGGTGGGGTGGGGAGGGGGACTTCTCTTCCAGTCCCACTCTTTCCAGGAAGCGGGTCACGGAGACAGGACCACAGTGGGAGCCCACACTGGGTGTCTCTGGAGAAGCTTCTGGAAACCTGCCAAGGCCTGGAGGCTGCCCCAAGACACTCACCAACCCCTCTCCACTGTGTGTGGGGCCCTCAGTGCCTCCAGCTGACACCCAGGTGGAGCCTGTGCCCGAGGCGGGGTCCTGCTCACTCCCTCTGGGGCTTGGACGCCAAAAGCACCATGGAACTGGCGCCCTCATCCTTTGCCCCGTCTCCCGCCCCACAGTCCAGCCTGGGTGTAAAAGCTCCACCTGGCAGGTCCTCCCTGTTGGAACCTCTCTGGTGCCTTGTTGAGTGTGTCCAGGACCTGATTCCACCGCTGGACAGCTCCTCGCCGTGCAGCTGTGGCCCCAGCCCTGGGCCTGGCTGAGCCAATGGAGGCCGAGCAGCTGCAGATGGGCACGCAGCCCCTTCTCCGTCTTGGACGGCTCTGGAGCGGGGTCCACCCGAGCCCCACTCCCTCCCTTCACTCAAACAGGCCAACGTCCTACGCCTTGCTGCTTCTGTGACATGCTCCCCGACTCGCCTTCTGAGAGGCTTCCTCTGAGACTTTGCCAGGTGGGGCGATCCGGCAACAGGTACCTACTGGGATAGTCCGAGCACAAGGCCAAGAATGAGCAATTCTCGAAGCACCAAGACCAGAATCCTTGCACATCCTGACAAACTACCAGCTCTGTTTCTGGGTCCAGGCCTTCCAACACCAGCCGACCCACAATAGCTATTTGTGGGGTGTCTGCAATCAGGAGAGCCCAAATTCTCAGGCATAGGGGCCAGCGTGGGGGCCAGGTTGGGTCATTGGGCTCTGTTTACCCAGCTCTAAACCAAGAAGATGGTATTTCCAGCATTCACAGCAGCTGACTGAGGGAGAGAACCCTGATTCCTGGGTGGGCCTCCCATCAGTGCCCCAGGGAGCAGGGATGCCCATGGCAGCCAGTCACCGGGTGCACTGGGGTCGTGGGGCGGCCTCGGGGACCCCGGTGTGGACACCCTCTGCCTCATGCCTCCCTGCCACACCCTGGCCCTCAGTGAGACCCACAGGCAGGTCTGCACAGCTGTCTGCAGCCTCTGCACTTCCCTGCGAGCCTGAGTTGAATGACGACCACAGGTGAAGGGTCACTCTCAGGTGTGAATTCAGCCAGGCTGTTGGTTTTAGGTTTGTGGCTGGACTTGCAGAGGGGCCTGGACAGAAGCCCAGCAGCAGGAAGGCGCTCAGGCTCCACATGCTCCTGGTTCCCTCTCCCTACTGCTGCGTGCGCAGCTCCTCCATCCTGCCTGCCACCAGGCTCCTCCTCTTCCTCTGCTGCACCCACAGCACTGGCCTGGGGGTGGACTGGCCTTTGCACGAGCCTAGGGGCGGAGGGCAGCAGCCACACAAAGGAGCTCCAGGCCGGCGCAGCGCCCAGAGGCCCCAGCTTGGTTTGATGCCGTTGTTACTGTCCAGAAGTTCTCGATATTCTCACCTTAAGCATGTTTTGTGCCTAAAGTCTGCTGCCCCATGATGCCGCAAGCACACAATCCCCATGGACCCATGGAGGGTCCCGACAAGCCACTTGGTTGGACCCTGGCTGCTCCTGCAGGGCAGTCATCCCTGAGGCTCATGGAAGGGGAGAAGGGTCTGGCACCCACCATCCATCCTCTTGCTGCTTGAATAGTGCGAGGAGCGTGGGACACGAGACCCTGCACCCACGTCCCCTTCCTGTGGTGTCTGCACCTGGGCCAAATTGCGTGGCCAGAGTGGCCACACGCGGGCTTCCACTGCGACAACCCTGGGACCGGCCCCTTCACAAGAGGCAGGTCAGCGTGTGAGGCTGCCTCATGCAGAGGGGCCTGCGTAGGGCAGGCATGGTTGCAGCCAGGCCGTGAGGCACAAAGCCCCCGTGTTCCCCGAGGCCCAGTCCCTGGGTCCCCTCCCCATGAGGACACGCTCTGAGACCAGACAGCGTTAGGCTGTCTTGATGGCTCTGGTCAGTCACACCAGCTTCCCAGTGTCTCCTACACCGAGCCCCCTGGGTGGCCATCGGGAATTCCAGCGTGCAGGGCATTTTCCTGTCAGGTCACACCCAGCCCCAAACCGCTGCCTTTGCCTGGCTTATTCACAAGCACCAAGGACTCTAAAACTACCGTGGGGTGCAGCTCACAGGACACTGCCCCATCAAAGCCGGAAGCCAAAGCGGGAAAAAGACTCAAATATCCTGCCTGAGTGCTCCACCAGGGCCGGGCAGGCCTGGGAGACAGCAGGGCCAGTCCCCATGGACCCTGGGAGGGAGCATAGGGTCTTCTGGGACCTTCAAGTATGTGAATACCCCAGAATACCCTCTTTGTGCCTGCACACGTGGGGGGTGTGCCCGGGACCTGGGGCTCCAGAGGGAGGGGCGCTGCAGGATCCATCGCAGGGCAAGCACAGGTCTCCACCTGCCCACAAACAGCTGGCTCTACAACGGTGCATGCGCCTTCCTGAACCGTGAAGAGGGGCAACTTTTCAAGTGCTGCCATCCCGATAGCAGTGTCCCCTAAAGTGGACGTAAGTGCCCACGAGAGCCCCGTGCTTGGGGGGTGAGGAGGCCCGGCCCTGGAGCCTGCGCCAGCCTCTGGCTGCACATTTCCAGGTCCTGCTGCTGCACAGGAGGGCTGAGCAAGGCCCTTATCGCCCTGGCCACCAGCCCCCTGCCACGTGTGACTCCTCAGGCTTCCTCCTGGAGCGCCTGCCCTCAGCGCCTGGGGGCTCTGCTTGGGCCTCTATGCACACCCCCCTCAGCCCTCCATCCCAGCTGCCTTCCTGGAGGAAGCAGTCAGGGGCTCTAAACACAAGTGCCGGCAGGGACCTCAGCGAAGAGTAGTGCAGCCTGTGGCACTTGAAATGCTTCAGTCTCAACCGTGCTTCCGAAAGCTGTGTCTTCTTGCTGGGCACCCTGCCTGTGTGCAGGTGGGTTGGGCTGGGGGTCTCGAGCCTCAGTGTCCCAGGTCTGTCCCTTGTTGCATGGACAGTAAGCGTGTCCGTGTGGTTGTCTCCCAGCCTGGGGCTTGGCCCTGCCTCCTGCACAGACTGCTGCCGTCTCCCCCAGGCTCTGCCTTCCATGCTGCGGACAGCGCAGGACTCACAGGAGCCTGCAGCTGCTGCCTTGCTGCCATGCCTGAACTCCAGCCCCTCTGTGGCAACTCCCTGCCTCAATGAGACCCACGGCCAGCGATTCACAGACGTGCGTCTAAGGCAGCCTTACTGGACACCTGGGGGTGGGTCCCAAGCCTGGTGCTGTTCACAGAGGAACACTTTCAGCCTTCCCTAGAAACAGCTCCCTGAGGATCTGCATGGACAGGCCAGCTCTTGGCCAGAGGGGACAGGTGGGGGCTGGGATACAGGCGGACCCCACCTCTGCCCGGCTGGCACGTCCCCGGGCAGAGCCCCCAGGCTTTGCACAGCTGGCACATGAAGTGAACACTGGCTCAAGGACCTGGAAAGGAGAGCCCAGCACAGCAGGGGTCAGAGGCCACGCAAAAGCATAACTGTCCCCCAACATGAGGCGCAAGTTGAGATGGAAAGAAATGTGGGGTGTCCCACTAGAGCGTTTATTTTGGTGACGGGTTATAGTAACTACCCAGTGGCAGGAAGGGGCTGGCATGCAGAGCTGATGGCAGCATGAGCGGGCTCCGTCAGACCCAGTGGCCCCCACACTCATGGCCTAGGCTGTGAGACAAGGCAGGCCACGGGCCACAGTGCAGGGACAGCAGCTCCTCAGGGTGTGGTGCCTGGCTTCAATGGCCATCCCTTATCAATAGGGGGCTCCGGATGCAGTCCCCTCTGGTCCCTTGGGTCCTGGCTCTGCTGGGCAGGGAAGGGCAGGCTGTGCCTAGCCACAGCTGCAGATGAGGAAACGTAAGGGGCCGGTGAGTCGGGCTCCCCACAGTGGCTCAGGATCGCGCTTGGAGACCACCAGAGGGGGCTGGGAGCTGTGCCCTCTCCCCAGTGTGGTTTTTACAAGGGGCACTTATGTTTACCTATTTAAAACTGTGCAAGGGAAGGGTGATGCCAACCCTAAACAACACCCCAGGACCAGGCACTGCAGCCCACGAGGCAGGCAGCCGGGAGGGGAACTGGGTGAGGCGGGGCGGGAGGGAGGGGCAGGGTGGGGGCCCATCCTTCAGGGACACAAAAGAAGACCTTACTTTTCCAGGGACTGCAGCTCAGGAGGTAGGTTGCATCCTGTGTAAACACCGTTTGTGATGCTGTATTCCAGCAAAGCCCCAAAACAGGGATCCTATTGAAACACAAAGGAGCCTGGCCTTAAACTCAGAAGAGGGCTGGGCTGCCTCCTGCTCCACAGCGTCCAGCGGGACCCTCCTCGCCACCCCCTCCTCAGGTGACACAGCCCGCAAGGTGGCAGCTCACTCTGACAAGAATGTAAGGATTTCCCAGTACAATCAGCAAGGCTTTGGGTCTGGTGATGGCAACATTAAATCTTTTTGAGTTGGACAAGAAGCCCAAAAAATATCTATCATCTTCAAAACTATCTTCATTTGACCGTACCTAAAAAATGCAAAGACGAATAAAAATTGTATCTTAAATTTCTTTGGCATGGAAAAAACCTCTTGACATATAAAAGCTTTTAGAAACATTAAACATCAGTGTGACCCTATTTTTGGTTAAAAAAAAATAAAAGCAGCTGGGAAGCGGCGGGGGTGGGGGGAGTGGCAGAGAGCAGACCTTGTTGCCTCTCTGTCCACACACAGGAGACCCTCCAAACACTAACCCACTATCTCTGGGTGTAGGGTTTTGGTGTGTGTCTGGTGGGGCAGGCACCCTCCTCTGAGGCCCTCCCACTCCGCCCCACCCCCGCTTCCTTCTTTTCTCCCACATTTTGTCCCTCCTTCTCTGACACAATGGCCACTTCTTCCTGGATTCCTTCTCTTTACTTTTCTGTCTGCCCATCTTAGGGTTTTTTAAAAAAGAACTCCCTACAATTACTGCTTGAGATGACGCTTGGGGCATGGAGAGTCTCCATCCTGCACTCGCTTCTCGGCGTTATTGATCAGCCTCTGTCTCTTCCTGTCCGAATGTGCCCAGAACCCAACCACCACCAGTGACCTCAGAAGCACTGTCGCCCACTGGACCCAGGAATACCTACAGTGGAGATGATGATAACCAAACATTCCTGCCCTTGAAACTCCTCTACCGAGCCAACCTTTACATCCGTCAGATCAACATTTCTCAAAAGAATTTTGATTTTCTCCACCTTTGAAGCAGATAAAAAGGAAGATTAAAGATAAAATTTCACAAATCTGACCATTTCTTTACATATTACAGCATAAGCGAATATTAGCTAATGTGCAATATTGTTTTCCAATTCTAAATCATATTTCATCAAATCTAAGTTGGTAAGAGCCCAAATCCTGATTCCAGATCGAGTCCACTGGGGCAAGGGGTGGGTCCTCAGGAGTGCTGTCTCCCGTGGAGATCTCCCCTCTCCCCACCCGTGCGCAGCAAGGATAGGGACATGATGTGCAAAGAAGTGAGAAGACACGCACTGCTTTGAGTGAGAAGGACGTCTCCGTGGGGACAGCGCTGGGACTCCCAGTGGGGCGGGCTCCAGAGTGCCTCATGGGGCCCAGGGAACAGAGAGCCCCTCTGGGGATCCCACACCCCAGGAGCCTGAGCCGTTGCGACAAAAGCAGCCTGGCAATGGGCTGTGCGTAGCATGTGGCGACAGTAACAGGAAGCTAGGGGGAAGAGGAACTTCGTGAAAAGTGACAACAAGCCAACAGGAGGACGGCCAGCTCCTGAGGGAATGGGGATGAGATCCTCTACACAGGACTCCAGGTGAAGTGTGCCCAAGGTCTCTGGAGACAAGGCAAGAACAGGTCATGGTGCTAAAAACAAAAACCAACTTGAAATCTTGGAAAAAAGAAAACTCAGTAGTGGGGAACGGCTCAGCTCCTCACAGGAGGCGGCCTGGGAGTGGGAGGCCTGCACCCAGGGAAGGTTCCCAGAGGATGCCGGACAGATGGGTCAGACAGACAGAGGGAGGGGCTCAGAGACCGAGGGCAGACTGAGAGGCTGGACACGTCTACCAGCAGTTCCAGAGCAGGCAGGGGACATCTGTCCACACCAGTCACGAGGCCCCAGCAGGGGAGAGAAATCACACCCAGACATTTTGTGGCAAAACTATACAACACCAAGAATAAAGGGAAAATATTAAAACTATGAAAAAAAGGACATTACTTAAAAACAAAGCCAGGCAGAGAGTAGATTTCTCAGCACAGTACATACTACAACAAAATGGGGGTAAAGTTTTCAAAGAACTGGGGCAAACAGCTGAATCAAAATTCATAAGTGAGGTGGTTAAATAAATATTTGCTACTCACAGGCCTTTGCTGAAGTAACTACTAAAAGACAAACCTCAGAAGAAACACAAACCCAGAAGAACTAAGTAGGATGTCAGAAGCAAAACCAAAATCCAAAACAGTTAAGACACGTTGATAAACTGCTACTAAGAAAAATATGTTTTGAAAAAAGGTGGAATTCCTAAAATTCACAGGAAAGAGCACAAAGCTAAGACTCAGGAGGGCGGGTGTGAAGATGTGCTTCGTAGGACTCACTCCCAGATGCCAACTCGCCACCAAGCTCCTGTGACTACTCCGTGTGGTCCTGGGACAGAGGCGGCCCCCGAAGATGCGCACGAGAAGCTGGTGTGTGGCAGGCAAGGCAACACATGCCACTCAGATACCATTCACTAAACTGATTATGCACAATGGAAAATAAACTCAGATCCCTACCCCAATCCACACTCAGAAACAAATCCAGGTGGGTCAAAGATGTAACGGTGAGAAGCAGACACTTAAAAGTCTCAGAAGAAAAGTGGGAAACACTTCATGACAACAGGACATGGAAGGACTTCTCAGACACAAAGAGCACGAACCATAAGGAAGTTACTGAGACAAGCTCTGTGTATCTGACGACATTGAAAGTAGAAACATACAGAGCCAGCCCTGATGGCCTAATGGGTGAAGTCTGGCATGCTCCGCTTCCGCAGCCCAGGTTTGGTTCCTGGGCACTGAACCACACTCCTCGTCTATCAGTAGCCATGCTGTGGCAGCGACCCACATAGAAGAACCAGAAGAATTTGCAACTGTACATGGCTGTGTGCTGGGGCTTTGAGGGGGAAAAAAGAAACAAGGAGGAAGATTGGCAACAGATGTTAGCTCGGGGCAAATCTTCTCCTGCAAAAAAATAAATAAACAAAAAATAGAAACATATACATAAGGGAAACAATCAACAAAGACAAACGCCCAGCAGAGATGCTGTACACAAGACACACAACTACCAAGGACCTGTGATCTAGAATGTATACTGAAAACTACAAACCGTTGAGAACAAAACACGCCTGAGGTCAATTTACAGTGGGCTCTAGATTTGAACAGGCAATTTAAGGAAGACATGAAGAAATGGCCAATGAACAGGAAGATTCTCAAGACCCTGACAACTCAGGGTAATCCCACAACACCCTCACTCCCCGTTTTAGGGGACCCCAGCGGCAGGGTATAGACTGTGAGCAGCCTAGCTGCGCCCTGCCCGCAGGCATGAGGAGGTGTTCATGGCAACGAGACATGGGAGAGCCCTGCAAGCCCACCACAGGGGAGCAGATGGACACTGTGCGACGATGGGGAGGCCAAGGAGCTCGCAGCAAGAATGTGTGGCCCCACCGGACTTGCTGCCCTCACAACCCAGGGGAGAGGACATTCTCACGCCCAGTGACAGATGAGCAAAGAGAGGTGGGCTCACTCAACATGCCCAGGCCGTGGGTCACTTGCCGGAGAGAGCACGTGCTCTCCCCAGGCTCACGGGACACCAGTGCAAGAGCAGTGAGCTGTGGAGACGACTCGAGAGGGACTTGGGGCCACCTGACAAGCTTGTTTCCACCTTCCTCTGTGGCCTCCTCAAACAAAAAAGCATGAAACAAGCTCGTTCGAGCAGGTCCACACCTGCTTCCGGTAGGGCGTGATCACACCGATGTCACCGGCAGACACCTGGCTCGAGGTGCTCCTGGCCAGCAGGCAGCAGTAGCGCATGACCTGGACAGCTTCGGCCGGGTTGAACCACGAGGGGCTTCTCCCTTCCCGAGCTTCGCTGCCCTGAGTTAGGAGACAGAGAAGGGCACGTCCATCACAAAACGTCATGTACTCAAAAAACGCTCGCTCAGGGCCTACGAACAAGGAGCAGACGGAGACGCTGGGGAACAGAGCATGAACAAGACAGAAGCAAGCCCTGCTCTCGTGCAGAACTCACATTCCAGCAGGGCAGACTAACGTTAAGTAATCAGGACAATCATCCCAGCTGCAGCAAGCGCAGGAAGGAGAAGGACTGGCTAGGCGAGGCTGTGATCTGAGGGACTGTCAACACGGGAGTGGCAGGTCAGCAAGGCTCACACCAACTGACACGTGTGCAGGAGCTACTGGGCAAAGGCAGCTGCATGGTGAGGGAGGGCACGTGGGGCCCCATTGCAGAAGCACCCGAGTGTGCTAAAAAAAAGTAAAGAAGGCCAATGTGGCCAAAGCAGACTGCACGGCCAGCTGTGGTCAGTCCAGGAGGCCACAGCAGGGCCCTGCCATAGGCCAAGAAGTCCGACTCAGGCTCCATTCCCTCCCCACTCGCTCTCTCAGCCAGTCAGCAAAGAGGACATGCAGATGGCCCACAAGCACACGAAAAGGCCCGCAACATCACCTGCCACGAGGGAAACGCCAATCAACCCACAAGATTCCACCTCACACCCACCAGGACCGCTACTATCAAAAAACAGAAAGCAACAAGCGTTGGCGAGGGTATGGAGAAAGTGCACTCTTGTGCACTGCTGGTGGGATTGTAAAATGGTAGAACTGCCATGGAAAACAGTATGTCGGTTCCTCAAAATATTAAACATAACATTATCATACGGTCCAGCAATTCCACTTGAGTCTATACCCAAAAGAAGTGAATGCAGGGAGCCAGATAAATATTCATACACTCATGTTCATAGCAGCATTATTTGCAATAACCAAAAGGTGACAACAACCCAAGTGTCCATCAACAAATGAATGGATAAACAAAATGTGGTATTATCCATACAGTGGAATATTATTCAGCCTTCAAAAGGAAGGAAATTCTGGGGCTGACCTGGTGGCATACTGATTAAGTTCGTGTGCTCTGCTTTGGCGGCCCAGGGTTCACGGGTTCGGATCCTGGGCATGGACCTACTCAGCACTTATCAAGCCATGCTGTGGCAGGTGTCCCACATATAAAGTAGAGGAAGATGGGCACAGGCCAATCTTCCTCAGAAAAAAGAGGAGGACTAGCAATAGATGTTAGCTCAGGGCTAATCTTCCTCACTGAAAAAAAAAAAAGGAAATTCTGACATGCTACAACATGGATGAACCTTGAAAATATTATGCCGAGTGAAATAAGCCAGTCACAAAAGGACAAATACTGATTATTCCACTTCTATGACGTCCTAGAGTTGCCAAATCCATAGAGACAGAAGGTACATGGTGGGTGCCAGGGTGTGGGGGAGGGGGATGGGGAGTTAGTGTGTAATGGAGATAGAGTTTCAGTTTGGGAAGATGAAAATGTTCTAAAGATGGGTTAAAAAACAATCTGAATATATTTAACACTACTGAACTGTACACTTAAAATGGCTAACACAGCATATTTCATGTTAATGTGTATTTTACCACAATCAAAAAAGAGTGAACACCAGATAAAGCAATAAGGTATTAACTTTCAGAATGTGTTTTACGCTGTTGTTAAGCCACATGAAATTTATCCCTTAGATTTATAATAAATGATTAAGATAACTAAAAAAAGATTAATGGGACGGAAGCTCATAGTAGAACTTCTAAACTGAAGAGAAAAAACATTCAATGAATATCAACTGAACAGCTACAAAAGATAAGGAAAAGGAGGAAACAACAACAAGTAACAAAGGTCAAGATGAAGGAACAGTTAAATAACTACAGGTTGGGCTGATTTATCTCATCAAAAGCACAGACCCAGGGCCGGCCCCATGGCTTAGCGGTTAAGTGCGCGCGCTCCGCTACTGGCGGCCCGGGATCGGATCCCAGGCGTGCACCAACGCGCCCCTTCTCCGGCCATGCTGAGGCAGCGTCCCACATACAGCAAGTAGAAGGATGTGCCACTATGACGTACAACCATCTACTGGGGCTTTGGGGAGAAAAAGGGTTAAAAAAAGGAAGAAGATTGGCAATAGATGTTAGCTCAGGGCCACTTTTCCTCAGCAAAAAAGAGGAGGATAGGCATGGATATCAGCTCAGGGCTGATCTTCCTCACAAAAAAAAAAAAAAGCACAGACCCTCAAATTGGATTAAATATAAAAACTAGCTGCTTCTAAGAAATACACCTAAAGTAAAATGATAAAGAAAGAATGAAAATAGAGGGCAAAGAGATACTAGATAATAAGAAAAAAGGAATGGCAATATTAATATTATTGTAAGGTGGAATTTAAAGCTAAAAACTCGACATTACATAGTGAGGAAGATAAAACAATCATAAACTTCTACACACAAAACAACACAGCAGTTAAATACATAAGGCAAGAACTATTAGAAATTCAAAGAGAATTTGATAAAAAAATATTATTATGTGAGACTTCACTCTTCTCCCACTAGTGGGACTACCTAGTAGACAAAATCCAAGACACAGAAGAGCTAAATAACAAACTCCATCAACTTATTCAAAAAATGCATTTGGAACTTACATCCCTCAAATAGAGCATATAAGTTTTTTTGGTATGTCTTTAGAACATTTACCAAAACTTATACCTATTTGGCCACAAAATCTTAAAAGCGGAGAGTTTATAGGCCACAGTTCTTGATCAGAACCTAATAAAATTAGAAATAAAAAAGAGGTGACCAAAACTTTCTTAGCCACTTGGAAATTAAGAAAAGTACTTTTCTATCACCCTTGGACCAAAAAAGAAACTAGAGAAAGTCACAAGTATCTAGAAAGCCATGGAGAAGGGGACCCTTGGAAGACACACATGGAGAAGCACGGCAGCACCTGAGGGATGCCGCCGTCACCAGTGCCTCCCTGCTAAGAGGACAAAGAGGACAGGAACCAAGTGCTCATCTTGTGGGAATTAAACGAAACAAATAAAGATAAATAAGTTAGTAAGAAAGAATGATTCAAGATAAAGCTGAAATTAATGAAGCAGAAAACTAACAGGCTAAGTACAAAGCCGGCTTTTCAATCAGACCAGAGGTTGGTACCTCTTGCCTGTAAGGGCCAGACAGTCAATATCTTAGGTTTGAACTCTGCTATCGTCCTAGCAAAAAGAAGCCAGAGACAAGCCACCTGCCACTGCAGCACAGGCTCCCAACTCTGCTTCTTTAGGAGGACAAGACTACAGCTACCTCCTGGGGCTCATCCCCCCCCCACAGTGTCCGTGCAGCATGTTCTACTGAGCTCTCTCTGCTGGGACGCGCTGGGCACAGGGACAGAGCAGTGAGTCAGACAGAGGGCCTCCTGGAGTTTCCTCGGGGGAACGGCCGCCCGCCAAGAATCCAGAGTCAAGGGAAAGCTGTGTCGAAAGGGTATGCGCTGGGGAGGGTGTCTGAAACTGCATCCCAGGGACTGGAGTGCGCCTGTGGGAGCCAAGGGCGAGTAACGGCCAGGCCTGGCCAGCAATCCTGCGGCCAGTTAACAACTGGTGATAAAACCCTTTTTTCTCAAATGGTGGGAGGGGACCATGTTCTCTGCAACCCAGCCTGAGAGGTCTCACCTACATGTAACCCTCAGGGCCCTCCAAAAACGCTCACGAAATCCATCGATGTTTCCGGACTCTGTTCTTTTCACACTGTGCACTTGTATTTACTACAGCTCTTATAGTATGTTATCCAGTGGGCTTTGCATCTCATTTTTCTTCTACAAAACTTTTTTACATATTTACAACTCCACTCCGTACTCAGTTTCTCATGAAAGAGCCCAATGTGACTTTTACGTAGACTGCATTAAATACATGGATTAATTTATGCAGAACTGACCCCTTTACAACACCGGTCTCTGCTTGTAGACGTTGGGGGCCTGTCTTAGTTCACGTGCTTAGGCTAAGCCTTCTGACTCTTTCGGCAGCGATCATGCTTCCTTCTCTGTAGGTCCCCACTCTACATGCGTCAGAGGGATCTCTGAAGCCGAGATACACTTTCTAACTTGTTTTTTCTGACACACAGGGAAGCCTGTGAGGACAGGCAGAGCTGGGGAAGACTGCTCCCAGGAGGGTAACAGGGCACAAGACTGGGAGAATGCACCAGCCAGCAGGGGACTCATGCTGAGTGGACCACATTGTGAGTCCACCCTCTCCTGGAACTCGCTCCCATCCACGGTGGGCACCCCACAGCCACAGCTGTACACACAACTCCACTTTCTTCCAGCCTCTTCTGACAGAGCAGGCCAATCTGGAGGCCTCAGGCAGCAGGTGCTGTCATGGGAAGGAAGGCGGGCTCCAGAGAGGAGAGGGGCGGGCACCCTGGCACCAGCTTGACCCATCCTGGAGTCTGCACAGCCCCGAATCTGGATGAGAACTTGGGGGAGTTAATGTAAAACCTGACTTCTGGTTCTAACAACCAAATTCCCAGCATAAACACTCGCATTTTAGTGAACACTTGTCACTTTTTGGCTACTGAGCGTCTAACTCCCCCTGCGGGAGTTAGGGGGAGTTAACTAACACCCCGTAGCCAGTGAGGCCACGGTGAGAGGGAAGGCTCTGTCCCCAGGTCGGTTCTCTCACTTGACAATGACGCACAGGATGGCGGTTACTCTTCGTGGGGGCGGCAGGAGCTTCCTGTTGCCCAGCTTCCCTCGATTCAGCTTGCTTGTCTCCCCAGCCTTCCAATCAATCCTGTGAGCTCGTCAATATACCTCCTACAAACTCCTTTAGGATGCTCCCCCTTCCATCCCACTCTGGGCCGGCATCCTCCAGAGCCCTTTCTGTGTGTCATCACCTGAGCGGCTGGATGGGCAGAAGCCCCTCCCACTGCTTTTACTCTGCGGGACCAGCACGCGTCTGCCCCACCACAGGCACTTGGCAAATGCTTTGTCAGTGGCTGAATTAATCAAAGCACATGCACTGAGCACGCGTACACACCACGATGAACACTGGGGGTCACTCAGCTACTCAAAGACTGAGCCACTTGTCCTGTGCCATGTCGAGGTCAGTGACGGGTACACGACTCACCCTCACACCGTGAAAGATGAGGGGGAAGCCTTTCTTTGGTAACTTCTCCCAGCCCAGTAAGGAGGTCACCACCTTTGGGTCTGCACAGACTTCAAGCTCCTTGTGGTAGAATAGTCTGGATGGCAGCGCCAGCAGAGCTGAGTGGGATCTGTAGTTCTTCACGAGCTTCGTAACCTGCCAGGAGAGAGCAGGCAGCAAGCCCAAGGCCAAAGTCAGCGAGAGATGCTTCTGTCAGAGGGAAAGACAGCCCAGACTCACCCCAAGTCACACGGAGGGGCAGCCTTCCCTGCCTCTGCCTGCACCTCCTGGCCTGTCACCTGCACCTGAGTAGGAAGTGCTCTGGCACCTCAGACAATTCTCTTACTAGACAAGGGGAACGTCAGGAAAAGAAAAGAGAAGAAGGCCTCTGGGACCATCACCTGGGTCTGGAGAGCTGAGGAGTCTGCTGCAGGCTAGTCACACGTCTGCCTGCAGCCCTGTAATCTGGATGCACCATCCTGCAATCCTGGCCTTTAGACAAAGCAGGAGGCCTGTCTCAGCTCAACTGCAGGCAGCTACGGGCTCCTGAGCCCCAAGGCCAGGGTGGCTAAGGGCACAGCTGGTGCACTGGACTGCATATCCCCCCGAGCCACAGGCAGCCCCTCAAGGGCCAGGCTGGGACCTTTGAGAGCTGCTGGAGGTGAAGTCGCCAGCATATGGAGCAGGAACAACTTTACTTTCTGCCTCCAACTGACCTGGGAAGCTCATTCCCTGAGTGTAGTCTTCCCTTGTTCCCGGGTGACAATGCCCGCAGGCCTCAGGAGTTTCCTGCTGACTCAAGGTAACAAACTTCAGCTCAGTAATTACAACGTGTACAGCTTCCAAGATGCTAATCAAAACCCCAGACTCTATCTAGCATCACAGCCTCTCCCTTCACCCAAGCCAGGCCCCTGTTAGCCTGGACATCTGCGTGAGAACAGGGGGAGAGGTGTGCTCGGCTCCCAGGGGCTTGCTGTGGTTCCAGGCCTGGGGAGAAGGAAGGAGGGTGCAGCGCACTCAGGCTGACAGGCTCTGCTGCCCTCTGCTGGGCACCTAGGCCGCAGGCTGAGGCACCTGGCTGACAGAGGCTGGCGGGCAGCACTGTCTGTCCGACAGCTGCCACATTACTCCACCCTTGTCTCATGGCCCCCTCCCCAAAGCCACTGGCAGGCCCCAGGGAGATGGACACTTGGTGGGCAGACATGCATCTCCCACAGGCAGGAGAGCCCTTCATTTCCCTGTCTGGGCCTAGCACAAGTCCACAGCTGGCTCTGGCTCGTCATCAGAGCCTCCTGATGACCCCTCACTGTAGCTCCTCCGACCGCGGGCACCTCTCTTGCAGGTAGCCCCTAGTGAGGCAGTCCTCAGCCTGAAGACCACACTGTCCCCAGCCCCACTCTCTTCCCACATGCCCTCTCTACTCCACTCTCTTGCCCTCTCTATTCTCCAGGGGCGAAGGGGCCCAGGGGCTGACTACCTGGCTTAGGTTTCCGGCTATTTCCCTGAAAACCTGCCCATGATCCACATCTCATTTTCTGTTTAATGTTCACATTCAGACGGGAATCTCTCCTTGTTTCTGTACTGTAGGAGCTCAGAGAATGATGCTACTTGGCTGACCTTAATGAGGGACCCCAGAGACCTAAGGTTCCCCAGCTCCAGTGTGCTGGGAGCCCCTCTGAAGCGGTCTGAGGTCGCCTGAGAACCCAGAATCTGCACCTTAACCAGGACCTCAGGAGACCACAGGAGACACTGCCTTTCTTCCAAGTAAAGTTACAAAGTTCCTTTCTGTTTTCCCACACTAACATGGATTTAGACTCTCTTGCTATGCTTGGCCCCACAGAACCTCGGCCAAAAGCCTTACACCGCCTGGGATCTCTGATCCTCAGGAGATGCTATGAAGCAAATTTCTGAGTTTCTGGGACAGAGAAGCTCGTCCAGGTGCCTTAAGTCCACTCTGGGGGGTAGGAGAGGAGCGTGCGAGCTGTTTGGGCCTCCTCTCCAGGTGCGGCTTGGGGCCACAGGGAGGTGAGCTGAGAGTAGCACAGAGGCTGTGGGGACTCTGGCGGGCACTTACCCGCTCCTCTGTGAGGCACCCTCTGCTTGACTCCAACTCTGCTGTCACCTTATGGGGGAAACCTAACACCACGTGGAGTCTGGGCTTACCAGCAAGGGGTTGTAGGCGCCACAGGCCCCAAAAGCGTTTTCATCTCTCCTATACACTGGTCGGGACATCAGTCTTTCCAACATAGAAACGTTCAGCCCATAGGCCATAGCAAGTCTGGACTTGATGACCGGTCCGAGCTGCATGGGGTCTCCAGCAAGGACAATCTGTAGCACACAACAGGCACCCACTGGCACCCACACCAGTGCAGGGGGAGAGGTGACGACAGTCACACGTAGACTCACAGCCCCAAATGGGTGAGTGTCGGGGATCGTGAGAGAGCCACAGGCCAGCCTCCGGCCCTCTGACTGGCTGAACGAGGGTCCGTGAGTGCAGCCACATGGCTGGAACTGTCCCCCCACCCCAGCACGCAAAACGACGATGGCTTGGACCAGGACAGTGGAAATGGAAAAACCAAACAGGCTGGAGACACAAGCTCCCTCACGGGGCAGTCCTTCCACCGGCTCCTTGACCTGGCAGCCTTGTCCCTGTCTTCTGGAAGTCTCTGCTGTTCCATCTTTCTCCCTAATGCTGCCTCTTGTCCCTCCCGCCCTGGTGGCTCCCTAGACCGGGACTCAGCTGCCTGGCAAGGCAGCCTGCCAGGGGCCACGTCCTAGCTGGGCTAAGCCTGCTCCCCCGTCTCTGTGATTGAGATAGGAGGAGGTGGCCCTCCTTGAGTGAGTGTGTAGAATGGAGGCGGAGGCAGGGGGGAGTTCAACACGACCCCACGTCACTACCACGGATGAGTAGTGGAGGAAGCAGCGGGTGTGACGAGGAAAACGGCCAAGACTCAGCCTAGGACAACTGGGGTTAGAGGGGCCAAGGCAGTCAGCAGAAGGGAGCAGAATGGTCAGATCCAGGGTGGTAAGCCAGGGCAATGCCTTGATCTCCTTACCCAGCAATACAGTCACGGAGAGCAGGGGCCGGAGGTGCTGACCTTACCCTGTGCTCTGCACCCACAACAGTTCTTAGCATCTGTTTAATAAGTGAATGAATGAAATCAAAGCAGCCCTCTCCCCTAGTCCAAAAGGAATGAAGTGTATGAGAACACAGCCTGTGTCTTCACGGTGCCCGAGTCCTCGGGGCTCCCCCGAGCCCATCACCCTGCCACTGTCCTGTGCAGACAGAGCGCCTCCCACTGTAGGAAGACAGGACGAGAACAACACACACAGCAAACAGGCCTCACCTGGCCGCTGACGTCTGAAATCAGCCCCAGAGGAATAATGCATTCTGGCTCACTCGCCTGTCCTGCTTCGTCCACAAATACGTGTGTAAAGTGTCCGACTCTAGAGCCAAAGATGTCCTAAATGGTCATTTCTATCAGTGTCCTAGCAACCAACACCACACAGCCGCACAGCCATGTCTGCACTGCGGGCGCCACCTGGTCGGGAATAACCAGGGGCCACAGGCCTATCAGGAGACCTAAATGAGCTCCTGTCAGCCCTAGGACTCTGTACACAATGTATGTGTTTGTTTAAAAAGAGTCAGAGGGAAAACAAGCGAGGGGCAGGAATGAACAAAGTATTGAGAGCCTACCATGGCAGGTCAGCCACACGAAGTCCACGTCAGAGCACATGCTCCTTACGCCTGTGTCTGCCGCTGGCAACTGACAACACACCTCGGCGTGAGAAGGCATGGGCTGGAGTCCTGGCTCTACCACCTACCAGCTGTGACCTTGGGCACTCATGTCACTTCTCTGTGCCTCAGTTTCCCTGATGTGGCTGATGTGAGGTCAGGGTGAGCTGTTCAAGGTGGGGTGCTGGGGCTATGCTCCCACGCGGCAACTGCTGCCCTCACCTCCTTCTGCCTTGTGATGCACCCTCACCAGCCTGCTCTCAGCCGGGGCACCACTCTGACCCTCCACGCCAACGGGAGCCCAGGGGACAGTACCGCGTGTGTGCTCTGGGCCCCGGGCAGCCTTCACCTCGGCCGGCTGAGGGGCAGCCACTGCCCCACAGTAATGCCCGAGGGACACCGTGCCTAAAGCTGCAGAGCCACTGCTGACAAGCCAAGCCTGGGCCCAGCCTGAGCCTGGGAGCCCGCCATTAGAGACCCACTGGGCCCTGCTCCTACTGTGGTCCAGTGAAGCGGTGCTGGCCCCTCACCTTTCTCCTTCCACTGGTAGTCAGTTTACATCTTTAAACACGGGCCTGAGTTCGTAAATCTCAAGCTGTCAGTTCCACAAATGACACCCACTGATACCTCTCTACGAAAGAGGAGGAAATCAGCACACTTTCATTTTTCTATCTCATGTCCCAATTTCTGCCGAAAAAACTTAACATTATGTATCTTTTTCAGAATACAAGCGCGTAAGTATTCAATTCTGTATTAACTATAGTTATTTAGTTCAATTCTGTATTAACTATAGTTATTTAGTTATTTCTAACAGACTGCATCGTTCCTTGTTCACACCTTCTAAGCTTCCTAAAGCCCTGGCACTGGCACCCCCACCCACACGCGTGGTGGTCCTGCCACCTCTGTTTGCTGACCTGTTCCTGTCACTGTCGCCTTGGCACCTCCCGTTCCTCCAGCAAATCAAGCTCCTTCCTGCTTTGGGCTGGTCCTGGGCTTCTCCCCAGCCGGGCACGCTACCTCTGTCTTCATCCTCTGCCCCCTCGGGAAAGCTTTGGGTCCCACTCATCTTTGGGGTCTCAGTGCAAACATCACCTCCCTGGAAAAGCCCTCCCTGCCCGTCCAAGCCCCACCCCCCAGCCCAGTTTCTGGCACTCTGTGCTGAAGGCCTCCCTTTAAGCATCAGCTCCAAGAGGATGCAGACTTTTACACACGTGGGTCCCTACGCCCTAAACTATGTCCAGTGCTTACCTCACTCCTATTTGGTAAAAGAGCCCTGCGCTGCTGCATGTTGTAATTATTATCCGGAAGCGTGAGGCTTTCCAGATGTCTTCTCCATCTTTGCAATATGGTTTGATGGCATCAATGATTGTCTGAAGGGAGGGAGTGGAGCCAGTTTATTGTCCAAATTATTAAGCTTTTTTTTTTTTTGCTGAGGAAGATTAGCCCAGAGCTAACGTCTGTGCCAATCTTCTTCTATTTTGTATGTGGGTCGCCACCACAGCATGGCTGCTGACGAGTGGTGTAGGTCTGTGGCCAGGATCCAAACCCGCGATCCCGGGCAGCCGAAGCGGAGTGCACCAAACTTAACCACCATACCATGGGGCCAGCACCTAAGCATTTCTTTAAATTGAACATAATCCCAAAGATGAAAGGAATTCCAAAGGATAACCCTGTCCTGTTGCCACTTCTCAGTTATGACTCAGGAATGGTTTAACATTTTTTTTTTTTTTTTGTGAGGAAGATCAGCCCTGAGCCAACATCCATGCTAATCCTTTTTTTTTTTTTTTTTTGCTGAGGAAGACCGGCTCTGAGCTAACATCTATTGCCAATCCTCCTCCTTTTTTTCCCCAAAGCCCCAGTAGATAGTTGTATGTCATAGTTGCACATCCTTCTAGTTGCTGTATGTGGGACACGGCCTCAGCATGGCCGGAGAAGCGGTGCGTCGGTGCACGCCCGGGATCCGAACCCGGGCCACCAGCAGCAGAGCGCGAGCACTTAACCTGCTAAGCCACGGGGCCGGCCCTAACATGTTTTCTTAAATCAAAATATTTTATATCCATATCAATTTAGTCCGTGTTTTATGGACTCTAGAGCCAGGAACATAACATATAATCCTGCAGAGCCTTTTTTATGTATTTTCTAGGTTCAATTTCTTTTGTTTAGCAATACTTCATTCTGTAAGCAAACCAGGAACTTTTAATTTTCCTAAAGGGTTACTTAAAGCCAAACCAATAAAACAGAACCAAAAAGAAACAATACATTTGGGGATCAAATAAAAGAGCAGCATCAGCATTTAATAAAGCTGAGCATGGGGGCTGGCCTGGTGGCGGAGAGGTTAAGTTTGCGCGCTCTGCTTCGGTGGCCCAGGGTTCGCAGGTTTGAATCCTGGGCGGGCACCGACGCACTGCTTGTCAAGCCATGCCGTGGTGACGTCCCACCCAAAGTACAGGAAGATGGGCATGGATGTCAGCCCAGGGCCAACCTTCCTCAGCAAAAAGAGGAGGATTGGCAGATGTTAGTTCAGGGCCAATCTTCCTTACCAAAAAAAAAAAACCAAAAAAAACCCAAACCAAAAATGCTGAGCAGGCCCAATTCATAGAGGAAGCATGAGAATGTAATTAAATATTCAAGAATAAAACTCATTTAATCACTCATTTAATCATTTAATCACAGTGACGGCCCAAGTGAGAGCCATTTCTCAGTCCTGGCTCTCCGACAGCTCACCTCCTCGAACCTGCAGGTGGCGTTCACACGGACCATGGCACCAGGCCGCAGCATCTGGCTCTCGTGCAGCCGCAAACACACGAGGTCGGCAGCGCTGTTGGAGGGCGCACAGACCAAAATCCGACTGTCTGGCAAAGTGTAGTACATCTTCATCCAGGACACAAAAGAGACAAAGGATGATGAACGTCAACCCGTCAAGTGCAAACATGGAGTGGTGAGTCTGACACGCAAGTGCTCACCATGCAGACTCAGCCACACGGGCTCACATCAATCCCTCATGTGCCTGAGACACGGCCCAACGACACACGGTGACGGTTCTGCCCACTGCACAACGTGCCCACAAGACTGGAGAGCAGGTGGGGGTTCTCTGAGCTCTCCGAGATCCCATCCTTCCAGAGCAGAAGCCCAGTCAGATTAATTCCCACATGCCCGGCTCGTAGTACAGTGCTGGCTGGGCACTTGGACACGTTTGCTAATCTGAATCCTGAATGATGCAGAAATACTAAACACATACTATCTCCACAAACTCAATTTTAGATACAAATGGAGACACTAGAAACTTCTGCAGAATGGTGGCTTTAGCTACTGAAAAGGAAACTAATTTTCTGCAGCAAAATTTCCTGATGTGATTGAATGGTTTACTATTTCCAAAATGAAAGAGATTCCTTTCTAAACTTATAAGTAATAAGCTTTTAAAATCCTACATACTCACATAAATAATATAAAACAAACATAGTTAAATATGAAATAACTGGAATTTTTCAAGCTCTTTCCAACCTTCTGCTTCTACAATTTACACTAAGGCTTCCTGACAACATGGACACAGCACAGAGCTATGTTCACTGTTGACTGTGCCGTGGTCTGTCGTTACCTGTAAAACAGCCTCTATTATCGTCACTGTCTTCCCAGTTCCAGGAGGTCCGAAAAGAATATATGGGAGTGGGCGGCAGTCGCCACTCAGAATTCTTCTAACTGCTAACTTCTGGTTTTCATTGAGCACTGGATTGAAAAATTCGTTCTCTCCCACTTCAGGGATCTGAATTTCATTTACTGTATTCAAAGTGGAGAAACGGTGTTAGGCAGAGGTCTAACAACTTTGACAGCTGGAGAACACATCAGCACCGGCCGCCATGGAGCCTACAATACAATCCAAGTCAGGTAGGGAAGCCCTTCTGCACAACCACCAGTGAGACAGTCCCTCTAATAACCTGTCTGAGCTTCGTTAGGCAGTCAGGAAAACGAACTTAGCATTCTGAGAGCAGAAACACAGGCCATTCAATTCACTCTTCCACTTTAAATATGGACTATCACCCAAGATGTCAGAGACACCATCTTAAAAAGGTCGACAAGAGTAGTCCATAATCAGGAAAGTCTTAAAGTATCGAACCTAAAACATCAAGTCTCTGCTTGGTCTTCAGTCAAGACAAAGAGCGTTCATCTCTCTAGTTACACAACTGTCAGAGACCACACGCTTCTCCTTCACAGGAGAGCGAAATCCTCAAGGGGCCTATCTTCCAGGCACCAGTCACCATGCTGCCCTCACAGCCCCTCACAATACGCACCCAGACTGCTTGTCTCTGCGGCCAGAGCCGCTGGCCCTGGGATGTCCTGGGCACCAACCCGCCTCTCCTTTGTTGCATGTTTAGTTTGGTCCTTCACGTCTTTCCTAGTCTAGAAATAATCATACAGAAAAACAGCTTAAAAATAAAGCTTTGTGTTTACATGGGCTTAAAGAGTAAACATATACATCTATCAACGTTCCACTTGTTTTATCTATTTAATAGCTCTTGGCAAGGATCATAGATTATATCCTTTAAAACAATGAAAATACAGAATACCTGATAAAAATCTGCTAAAAAGGTTTATGTTTCTTTTTCTTTTTTTTCCCCTTTTTCTCCCCAAAGCCCCAGTAGATAGTTGTATGTCACAGTTGCACATCCTTCCAGTTGCTGTATGTGGGACGCCGCCTCAGCATGGCCGGAGAAGCGGTGTGTCGGTGCACACCCAGGATCTGAACCCCGGCCCCCAGTAGTGGAGCACACGCACTTAACCGCTAAGCCACGGGGCCGGCCCCTATGTTTCTTTCTTGAGTTCCCTTTTAAAAATAAACTAAATTTTGGGCCCGCCCGTGGCTCAGCCAGCCCCAGGCAGGACCCTCCCCAGGGATGTGAAGCAGCCTGCCCGTGAGGGCCCCGCGAGACTCTGCTCTGGAAGCGTCTCCCGTGCCTTTCAGGCGACGCAGAACTACGGCACTGCTGCTTTGTCGACGGCACGAGAACTGTGTGTGTTTCTTTAAACATAAAGTGAGTCTGACCTGGACCAACAGAGCTGTTTTCCCAAATTTCTCCTGTTACAAACAGCTCTGCACATGCATCCTTGTGCAATCACTGATTGCTTTCATAGCATAAATTCTAGAAGGAAAATTGCTACACTAAAAGTTTCACATTAAAAATTTTATATATACCGCCAAATTTTAGTCCCGAAGGTCACAGCAATTTACCCTCCTGCTGTATGAGCTTTGCAGAGTACACTGAGGTATGTACATTCACAGTGTATAATTTGACAAGTCTGGGCATGTGTATACACAAGTGACACCATTACCACAATCAAAGAGGTAAACACATCTATTAAGCCCAGAAGTTCCCGCACGCCCCTTTGCAGTCGCTCCCTCCTGCTGTCACACAGACTGGCTTACATTTTCTGGAATGTTACATAAATGGAATCTTGCAGTATGCTCTTTTTTGGTCTGACACCTTTCACAAGTGTAACGAACTGTTTTGAGGTCCATCTATGTTGTTGTGTATATCAACAGTTTACTCCTTTTCACTGCTGAGTAGTATTCCATTTTAAGAACAGACTACAATGCGTTAATCTATTCACCTGCGGATGGACACTGCGCTGTTTCCAGTTTTTCACTATTAAAAATAAAACCTCTATGAACATTCACGCCTGAGTCTTTGTGTGGACATACGTTTTCCTCTCTCTGGGGTAAACAGCTAGCAGTGAAAGGGCTGGGTCAGATGGCAGGCATATGCTCAGCTTTCTGAAGGAGCTCTTTTCCAAAGCAGCTGCACCATTTTGCATTCCCACCAGCCTGCATGAGGTTCCAGCCGCTCCACAGGCTCATAACCCTCGGAGTGGTCAGTCTTTTCAATTCTGGCCATTCTAATAAGTCTGCAGTGGTATCTCACTGTAGTTTTGATTTGTGTTTCCCTAACAACTAATGTTGCTGAGCATCTTTTCATGTATTTATTGACCATCTGTATATATTCTTTGGTAAAGTATCTGTCCAAGTCTCCTTCATTTTTAAAATTGAGGGTTTATTATTGAGTTTGTAGAGTTCTTTAATATATATTCTCAATACCAGTCCTTTACCAGATACGTGATTTGCAATCATTTTCAGTCTGTCATTTGTCTTTTCATTGTCTTAACAAGGTCTTCTAAACAGGAAAATATTTAATTTGAGTTCAAAGTTATCAATTTTTTCTTTACAGGTCACACTCCTAGCATCACATCTAAAACGCCTTTGCCTAGCCTAAGGATATGAAGATTTTCTCCTACATTGTTTTCTAGAAGTTTTATAGTTTTAGGCTTTATATTTAGGACTACGAACATTTTGAGTTAACTTTTGTAAATGCTGCGAGGTATGGATCCAGGTACACATTTTTGCATATGATATTCAACTGTCCCAGCACCATTTGTTAAAAAGACTATTTTTTCTCCACTCTACCTGCCACTGTACCTTTGCAGAAAATCAGTTGTCCAAATACGTGTGGGTCTATTTCTAGGCTTTCTATTTTGTTCCACTGATACATCTGTTTATCCTGATGACATAAGCACACTGTCTGGATTACTATAACTTTGTAATACAACTCAAGATCAGGCAATGTGAGTTCTCTGAGTTTGTTGTTCTTTCTCGGTTGTTTTCACAACTCTAAGTCCTTTTCATGTCCATATGAATTTCAGAATCAGCTTGTTAATTTCTACAAAAAGTCTGTTGAGATTTTGACTCAAACAGCACTGAATTTATAGATAATTTGGGGAGAACAGGCATCTTAACAATGCTAAGTCTTCTGACCCATGAACGCTGTGTATCTTTCCATTTTTTAGGTCTTCTGTTAATTTGTCTCATCAATATTTTATGGTTTTCAGTGTACAATCTTGGGCATCTTTTGTCAGATTTATCCCTAATATTTAAAACATTTGGATACTATTTTAAATGGCATTAAAAATTCAGTTGCGTATTTATTGCTAGTAGTATATATACAAACAATTTACTTTTGTATAGAGACCTTCCTATCCTGCAAGTGTGGTAACCCCTTATTAGTTCTAACAGCTGCACCTAAGAGTCCATCCGATTTTCTATGTGATATGGATGCCTTTCATTCTTCTTGCCAGGAACCTGCAACAATGCCCTGTTGAACACAAGCGGCAGGAGCAGACATGCCCCGATCCTGATCTTGGGGAAAGAGCCCTAGTCACTCACCAAGTAGGTATTGTGTAGGGAAAGGAAGTTCCCTGCGATCTCTATAGTTTGCTGAGCGAGTTTTGATCAGGAATAGATGTTGGATTTTGTCAGATGTCTTTTCTGTATCTACAGAGATGGTGATAAATATGATGAACTCCCCTGATTGATTGTGGCATGCTAAACCAGCTTCTTATTCCTAGGATGAACCTTCATGGTCTCTCTCATACATATAAATATACACACGTAAGTGAGTTCTCCAGAGAAGCAGAACCAATAGGATATGTGTAAATATGTATAAAGACATCGATTATAAGAAAGTGGCTCATGTGACTACTGAGGCTGAAAAGCCCAAGACCTGCTGTGGGCGCTGAAGACCCAGGACAGCCGACGTCTCAAGTCCAAAGGCAGGAGAAGACCGATGTCCCAACTCGAGGGAGTCAGGTAGGAGGAGTTCCCTCTTACTCAGCCTGTTCTTTTCAGGCCTCCAGTGGACTGGACAAGGCCCACCCACACTGGGAGGGCAATCTGCTTTACTCGGTCCACCAATCCAAATGCTCACTTCATTTAGAATCAGCCTCACAGACACACCCAGATATAATGTTTAATCAAATGTCTGGGCACCTCATGGCCCAGTCAAGTTGACACACAAAACTGACCACCACAGTAAGATTCCTATAACTTTTAAAAAATATCTGTAGATTCTATAATGATGTCACCTCTCTCCTTCCTGATACTGGTAATTTGTCTTTCCTCTTTTTCCCTGATCAGTCTTGGCTTGAGGTCTAGCAATTTTATTGATCTTCTCAAAGAATCAGCTTTTGGGTTCACTGATTTCTCTATTGTTTCTCTGTTTCCTATTTCATTGATTTCTACTCTAATATTAGTTTATTATTTTCTTTCTTTAGTTTGGGTTCCATTTATTCTTCTTTTTCTACTTTTCTAAGGAGGAAGCTGAGGTCATCCATTTGAAACTTTTATTCTTTTTTAATTCAGGCATTTAGTGCTATAAAATATGTGGGGATTTTCCAGAGATCTTTATGTTACTGATTTCTAATTTAATTCCATTATGGTTAGAGAAGATATTCTGTATGACTTTAATCCTCTTAAATTTGAGACTTGTTTTACGGCCCCAGATAAGGTTTCCCTTGGTGAATGTTCCGTGTCCACTTCTAAACAAAGTGGAGGTACTCAGCTCCTGTTGGGTGAAGTCCTAAAAAAGTCCTCCAGGCCACGCTGGTCGATTTGGGTGCTGGTGCCCACCACGCCTGCACACGTCTCTGCCTTCTTTTTCTATCACTAACTGAGAGAGGAGCACTGACATCTCTGACCGTCCTGAGCAATCTATTTCTCTTTGTAGTTACATCAGTTTCTGTTTCCTGTATTTTGAAGCTGTTATCAGGTGCATAAGCATGTAGGGTTGTTACACATTCCTCAAGTCCCTTCTTTATTATTATGACAGAATCTTCTTCACCCTGGTTAGCTTTGCTCCTAAACCTACTTTGTCTGACATGAATATACCCATTCCATCTTTCTTTTGATGGTATCTTTTTCCATCCTTTACTTTTAACTTGTGTCTTTATATTTAAAATGAGTTTCTTACAGGCAGCATATAGTCGGGTCTTTCTTTTTTATCCAACCTGACAGTCTCTATCTCTTAACTGCAGTGTTTAGAACACATTTAATGGGATTATTGATATGGTTGGATTTAAATATATCACCTTGGTATTTGTTTTCTATGTGTCTCAGCTGTTCTAAGTCCACAGAGATCTCAATATCCCTCTCTCAGTAAGTGACCAGACAAGTGGGCCAACGATCAGGAAGGTGATAGTGGACTTGAACATGTGTCCCTCTTTTTCTGCCTACTTTCAGTTATTTTATTTTTTTACTGATGTCATAATAGTTTATAACATTGTGAATTTCAGGTGTACACCATTATTTGTCATTCACCATATATATGTGCCCCATTACACCTTATGCCCACCCCCCAACCCCCTTCCCCTCTGGTAACCACTAATCTATTCTCTTTGTCCATGTATTTGTTTATTTTTCACATATGAGTGAAATCATATGTCTCTTTGAATTGTTGATTTCAAGTTCTTTGGATAAATACCCAGTAGTGGAATAGCTGGGTCATACGGTATTTTGATTTTTAGTTTTTTGACAAAACTTCATACTGTTTTCCATAGAGGCTGCACCAGTTTGC